ACGCCTGAGACTAAATCTGTTTATAAATCTAAACTGTATGCCACCAGTTTTAATCTATTTTGGTTATCTTGTCTTGTGCATGAAAGAAAGGATTATGCGTGGGATAATCTCGTCCTGACTGGAGATAATGTTCTCTGTCACTGCCCACAACTCTGGACAGATTTAGATGTCTGGAATGGACAAAGATGCACAGATTTTTTAAAGACAGGCCTCATAGAAACACTGGGAAAAAAACTCAGTGACGAACCGCCATAGTTAGCGTGCCGCACAGCGCTGCGAGTGGAAACTGAGGAGCAACTGAGCTGCTCAGCATGAAGCAATGATGTCATGAGTTCTCAGAAGACTTTCCTTCTTTAACTCCACAGCAGCGAGGCACAGGTCGGAGGTCAGGGCTCTCTGATTAACTCTACGCTAATACCACTGGAAGGCTTCTCTGTACCGGCAGGTTATCCGACCTGTTTGTAGTGTTTTGGTCAGTGACGTGTCTATTTGGATCAGTATGACAGCTCAAATTACAGAGCTCTCTTCTTCGGTGGCCTGCACAGGAGAGGTCACTGGTTTTAAATGAACCTCAAACTGGCATTTCAAAGGGAGCAGGAGAGAAGGGCGCAGGGTTCACACTGCTCTGGTTCAAAATTAGGGCAGATTGTTTCTATACTGTAAATGTGGTTTAACCATCTTAACTCAAAGTAGTTTCTGGGTGTTTTCAGCTCCTTTAACATGTTTATCCACTGTGGGTTCAGTTTTCACTGCAATATAAATTTCTGCACTTCTATGGTAATATCATAAACCACAGCTAGAAGTAGAGTGAATTTATTTTTAGAAAAATGAAAAAATAAAAAACTGAAATCAACATGTGTATGATTGTTTTTAGTGCCCGCAGGTGTTACAGGTAAAACAACGGTGACTCTACGTGCTATAGATATTTTACTGACTACATTTTTTATTTGTTTCAATACTTGTCTCCTCTCTGTTGGGTAGAAACACTACCTGTAGTTCAAGAGGTTCCCAAATTCTGTTACTCAACTGTTGGTCACAACTGAGTCACTAATAGCTTTACAGTTGTGCCAAAAAGCAAACTTTTCTTTGTGTATTTTTGGCAAATTCCTATATGAAACACGTAGAATAAAGTGATCTTGATAACACATCAAAGTTAGATTTGGTCAAATTTCCCAATCGAATGGTACACCACAGATGAGCAGTTTTAAGTCTAAAATCCATTCTCTCTGTTTTTACAACTTCTTGCTCTATCACATGGTGTAATTGTGGCATTTTCTTTTAAAACAAAACACCTTTCAAAGCCGTGGTCTGGTTTTGGGTTCAACGTAGTAAAGATGAATTTGGGAAAAATAGAACATTCAACACTGGAACTATATCGCAACATCTTTCCAAAAAACATTTAGTAGCGGTGAACAGCTCACATTGCTAGAAAATGAAACAAGAGACCAGTCTCAGTCTTGCCCTTCGTCTGCGATATCTCAGCTCTATTAGGATAATGGATTGTCAAACTGTTATTAAGCCAAATTAAATTAGCTGAGCAGCACTGTTAGCAAACATGACACCACCCTGGGGGTGTATCATCCAGGAGATGTCGGTGTGTGTGTGAGTCGGTTGTGCTGACAAATACTGATTCAAGAGTTTTAAAAACAAAGGCATGAGTGTTAATAAAAGCACAGTCACGTTCTACAGTACACAATAAAAACAATTTGAATGCCGTCTGACTATCTGTTCATTTCCTGCTTCCTGCACAGCCATGAGAAATTGTCTCCAAAACTTTTTAAGGCCAAAAACGTGGAGCAACAGATGGAGAGTGTTGCACAATTTGTACATTTCCCCATCACTAATGTTGGTCATCACAAGGGGTGACAGTGAGCCACACCTATGGCCTGAAGACGTGTAGCATGATATGATTTAAAAAAGGTTTATAGGTCAGGCGAGAGCTTGAAATCTGACACACACCCATCAGGCTGCCGAGTTCATTAGATCCAGTCAAACCAGTCTGCAGCAGTGTCCCTGTAAAATGTTGTGTATGTTTAAAAGGCTGAGACAAGAAATTTGCCTTCCTCATTTTCCCCATCTGTTTCCTGAATAAACACCACAAAAACTACGTTCTCCTCTAAAGACATTATTGTTAGGCTAGTCTCAGTTTTTGCCTGTGTCAAGTGTTGCCATCACATTCGATATACAGAGCGACGCATTGGATTTTCCAAAACAACATTCTACAATCCCTGAAATCTGTCCTAAAGACATTTCTCAACCGCATTTCCTAATCCAGGCAGCCACAAATGACAAATGTCAAAAAAAACTTTATTAATTACACATATTTAAAGTAATGCAGCCTATAATGACATCCCTGTAATTATCTATGTGTTCATATAGATTGTAATGTTTAGTTTTTGTTAAAAATGTGTCAGAGAGGTGCTGAATCAAAGGCATGATCACTTTAGAGGACACAGATTGTGGTGCTGCTGAACTCCACATCATTATAACAAAAGTGTTTCTGTTGAGTAGCCGTCCCTCAGTGATAAACACCAACCAGCCACAACACAAAAACAACAGACAGGTTAAGTGAGTTACATTGATCATCTCGTTACGATGCAGTGTTTCAAGACAGTGTGGAGCATAGTAAAGGACATCTAGGATTTGTAGCAGCTCATATGTGCTTTTTTAAAAAGCTTTCATGTACAGCTGCAATGATTAATTAGAAGAAGGAAAAAAAGGTCTAAATCCTCTGATTCCAGTTTCTTAAATGTGAATATTTTCTGGTTTCTTGCCTCCTCTATGACAATAAACTGAATATCTTTGGGTTGTGGACAAAACAAGACATTTGTCCTTCTGGTCTTTGAGAAACAGTGAAAGATATTCTCACCATTTTCTGACATTTTTGAGTCCAAACAACTAATCAGTTAATGAAGAAAATAATCAAGAGATTACCGGACTAGCCGTGTGTGAAACTTTTCCCCCAGCACGACTTTTCCTCACTGCAAAAACTTTCAGGAACAGCTCAAGGAACAAGACAAAAAGCCCAAAGTGTTCATGCAGTCTGCAAACCCCAGACTCCAGTCTGACTGAGCATCCACAGGATGCACCGAAACAGACCCAAGGGACCACACAACACACAGGATGCGCTGCCAGCCCCTCAGCACCAGAAACCACAAACACCCCCAGAGGTCCTGTGTCCAGAACGACAAAGGTCAGAGCTGTTTAAGCAGCATAAGAGGGACCCACACAGTATAATTAGGCAGCTGGTTTGAGTGGTTTGAGTGTTGTGGCTGACAGCATAAAACATTTCCAGCTACCAACTTTAGGAAATGAAGTGTAACTTGGGACAGCTGATGACGAGAATTGTCTTTGAGGATTGTGAAAACACCTTCAGAACAGTGGTGGGAGCTGTTCAATAAACTTGTGAGCTTTTCAAAGATTGAAAGGCCAACTAGACAGGACTCATACTTAAAACATGGTCAAATCACATACAGCGTGGAAGAATGCACGATGACTATGACTTGTAAATGCAGGCAATGAAGTCAAAGAAGCTCACAGCATGAAATATACTTAGACCTTGTGCTGCCTGCTGACTTCATAACAACCCAACAAACATGAGCTCGGCCAAGAAGTGGCTGTTTGCAAATATTTTGACAGCAGGGACAAAATTAATCAGTTTACTGACTTCACAAGTGTTTTGCTTTCTGCCTGCGGGTGTTAAAGGGATTACTGACACACCTCAACTTAACTCTGCGTAGCCTAGATGTGTGCTCTCTTCATTCATCACAGTGTTGGCTTGTGTGTATTCAATTGACATGCTGCTGAGTCTGTTCTTGAATCACTGATTACTTCCTTTTATATGTAAAAAAACGAAGAAAAAGACTCAAGGTAATATCTCCAGTTGGTTTGTTTAGTCTGATCAATAGTCCAAAATCCAAATACTTGCGTTTCACTGTCATGTATGGGAAAGCATAAAATCCTCACATTTTTCCAAATGTTTTGGCGTTTAGCCTTAGCCAGAGTTTGTCTTTGAACATTGCTGAAATAAAATGAATGAAATGCAAAATGCTCATTTGCACCTTCACAGCACTGCAAAAAATCCTGTAACAATATGGAACACTGTGATGTTTAAAAATTGTAAAAAATAGTGGCAAATATCTGCAAAAATAATGACATTTATCTGCTTTAAATACAATAAAACAATTTTACATAACACAGTGAAGAGCAATTTAATGCTTGTAAAAATACTGACTTTTGACGTAGACATTCTGTACACCTTTGTCCTGTTTTTCTTGCCGATTTTTTAATATTCAGAATGTAAATTAACACCATGTAGATATGATATACACTTTACCAAAACAGGAAAAAAAGAAAAATAGAAGAAAAGAAGAAGAAAAAAAGTAAAGTAACAGTTTAAAAACGTGGTTGCTCTTTATCAATCCTGAATATAAACCTTTCTTTTTCTTTCAAATAACACCAAATACTTGTTAATTTTTTGCTGATTTAAATACGATAAAAAAAAATGAAAAAAGAGTTTTAAAAAGAATTTTATGATCAATGGAAAATGTTATGTAAAAGAAGAAATGACTGTTTATAAAAAGATTTTTTCATAATGTTAATTATAGTTTTGGCCTGTGTTTTTTTTTTTTTGCTTTTTTAGCAACAAAAAGACTTTTTTGTTTCCACAGTTTGTGTGCTTTCTTTATTTACTACAGTCTTCGGTGGTTTGTAGCCAGTTATCCTGTTAATTATTTTTATGATGACGTGTTTTTATGTGCCAAAAACGGAGAGAAAAGCTCAAGGTAGCATCCTCAGATGACTTGTTGAGTCTGATCAATAGTCCAAAACCCATGGACTTTAGTCATTTGTGGCAAAGCAAAGCATAAGATCCTCACATTTCTGCAAACATTTCTAACATTTATGCTTTGAAAACTGCTGAAACTGAAGGACAGTTTGCTCATTTGCATATTCACTGTGCAGCGTCACCTCAGGTTACTTCAGGTGATGAGTGTGTTTACCTTGTCGTCCTCTTCATCATCTTCATCATCATCATCTTCTTCGTGTCCTGGCGTCTCCTTGTCGTATCCTGCGCTTCTCTCGTCCTCAGCTTCGTCCACACATGTAAACTCCAGGCTGCAACCAGGCTCCTCTCCATCCCCGCAAACTTTCCCGTCCAGCGCAGCCGTCGTTTCTTCTCCCTCGGACAAGGTGTGTGAACCCGACGACGACTGACTGCGTCCGCTTCCAGACGTCGCACACCGTCGGTGCTCCATGACGGACACAACAGAGGCTAATGAACAGAGCCGCTAATTAACCTGCCAGCACACCTGTCCTGCTCATGGTCCCCCCGAGCCGCCGCACCGACACACGGCGACTCTTCTTCTTCTGGGGGTTTGGGTTGTTTTTGTTTTTTTCCTTGTCCAACTAAAAACAAAAAGTCACGACGCCGCCGAAAGTTACTGCTACCGGTTGAAAACGTGTACCGACCGTGTTTGTTGTGAAGGTGACCGGCGGGCAGAGGGCTCGGCTGCGGTAAAAGTTGCCCGTGTGCGGGTTCAGCGTCTCCGGACTGAGTCCATGCTGCCGTCAGTCTGCGGCCCCAGCGAAGCCCCGCCCACAACGTGCGAGGGCGACCAATCAGCGCAGAGCAGAGACCAAACCCAGCTCAGAGGTTCAGGCTCTGCAGGCTGCTGGGTCCAGATAAGCGTCTGCTCTGAGCTGATGTGGTGGGCACAGTCATTTGGTTCTGTGAGAGCCTGCTGCAGAGAAGGCTGCTGTTTCAGGACACTTGTTTACACCAAAGGAGAGTTTGCTTGTCTAATCCACAGACACTGGCAATAAAATGTACATTTTTGAGTGGAATAGACCTTTAAACCCATACCTGTTGGTTAGAGACTAATATTTTGGTGGAATAAACCCTTAAAACTAAAATAATTTTGACAGAAAGTAGCACTTTTGGGTGGGAAAAAAATTCAAAAACAAAAAGAGTACTTTCAGTGGAATAAATCTTTAAAACTATGAATAGTATATTAAGCAGAATAAACCTTAAAACCACAAGTTGTTAGCTAGGGACTACTTTTTGGATGGAATAAACCCTTAAAATTATACGAATTTGAACAGAAAGTAGGACTTTTGGGTGGAATAAAATTTCCAAAATAAAAATTGTATTTTGGGTGAAAAAAATCTTTAAAACTATGAATAATATTTTTTAGATGGAATTAACCTTTAAAATCAAAAATTCTTAGTTAGAAATATTTTTTGGTTGGAATAAACCTTTAAAACTATAAGTACTTGGACCAAAAGCAGTATTGTGTGTGGAATAAAATTTCAAAAACAAAAATAGTGCTTTGGGTGGAATAAATCTTTAAACGTATGAATAGTATTTTAGGTGGAATAAACCTTTAAAAGCATGGGTTGGTAGTTAGACAATACTACATAGGTGAAATAAACTTTTAAAACCATAAGTTGTCAGATAGAGACTATTTTTGGGTGGAATGAACCTTTAAATCTATAAGAATTTGAACAGAACATGCTACTTGGGGGGGATAAAATTTAAAAAAATAAAAATTGTATTCCTTGGTGGAAAAAATCCTTTAAACTAAGAATAATATTTTAGGTGGAATTAACCTTTAAAACCATAACTTCTCAGTTAGAAAGTCTTTTTTGGGTGGAATAAACCTTTAAAACTAAGTAGTATTTTGTGTGGAACAAGCCTTGGTAAGTCATGTACTTTAACATTCATCCAGTTCAGCAGGTGGCGCTGTCAGTACAGACAAGGGTCCTAGAAGTGGAGGCCTGAAACAGCAGCTCCTCTGCTGCAGACATATAATGGATTATTTGGGAGTCCCCCAGGAAATGATGAGTATCAAACCCCAGAGTTCTTGCATGGTGAAGTTTTGTGCCTTTCTGGATGATTTCATGATGGAAATGTCTTTATCTGTGCAAAGACAGACACAGTTCTGGCTCATCAAGTCAGGTCAAGTCAGGTCAAGCCAGGTGGCCATTTTTTATACAGCACCCTATCGTGTTATTTTATCTAATTCATTTACTTATTAGAATTAAACCCTACAAAAATTACATAAAATACAACTTTACTTGACTATCATACATAATAAGGTCTTATTAATTACACAGCTTGACCGAACTATTTTAAATCTTAAGGCTAAGACCCTACAGTAGAAATGATTATAGATAACCTGACAAATTTAGAACTGAAGTTGTGACTCCTCAAAAATATACACGAAAACTCATGTACATTGTTTACTTATTTACTTTTTTTTGTTGTTTGTTCTATTTAAATTTTTTATTGCATTGTATTGTATATTATTATTTTAATGTTTTTTGTTTGCAACAGTGGAGAGGAACGACTTCCTTCAGCAAAAGACCTTCATATTTGTTTAGTCGTAGTGTACTGTTTTTCCAAATTACAGGACAAAACAAACAAACAAATGAAAATCAAATGCATTTTTACCCCAAAACAAGAATGACTGTTAATAGCAGGCTATTGTGAAAACTGACAGTGTGAAGTGAACAAAACATTTTTAGTGTAGAGATGTGATTTAGGCAGGCAAGAATAATGATGAGAACTTGACACTAATGCCTTGAGTTGAGCCAACTTACATGATCTTTCCTTGAAAATATATTTAATATGCTAGAATTTGGCGCATATTGCTTCCTATCCTTCACTGTTTTAGGTGTTTTAGTGCTATACGCACTTTGAAATTTAAACAGAGCTTATAGATTCTAGATTATAACCATTAAAGACACATTTTTATTCATGGTTTATGTCTGCTGTTTAGTGTGTTGTTATTTAAAGGTAAAAACAGTTTCAGTTGATTACAGTCACAACATTGTCGGAATACAGTATATTATGGGGAAGTCTGGTGACAGCACCAACCAGTAAACCTCAGATTCTACTGCATCCATTATAAAATAATTAACTCTTTAAACAAATTACAATTAACACTGTAAAAATACAGTAAAATAGAGCTGCCAGTAATTTACTGTAATGCTACACGGACATTTATTACAATATAAAGGTGAAAGCCCTAATTTCAAATTTTGCATCAGTTAGACAGATAACAAATGGGAACCCAACCAACCAAAAAAATGTCTCTGCAGAACAAAAACACAACTACAGGTCAGAAAAAAAACAATTTTAGGCTCTAAATTAGTCCATTTAATTCTCTTTTAAAACTTCAAAGTCAACATTTTCATCTAAAAGATTTTCTTCAAACAAGTATCAAATTTAAAAAACTGTATTTCTTGTAAAGTCAGCTCGAGTTATAATCACCTATGAGGCTGTAATAGACCAATTTAATACAGAAAACATACATCAAACATTGACTGCAACAATAGTTTTAAATAAATTCTCTCACAATGAATAAAGACACAGAGATCAAAAGCCAGGATGTAGCAGGATATTCCACATACACGTCGTATTGTCCTCTCAAGCAGCTGAGGTGACCTTGAACAAAACAATCAAGCTCCTGGGAAGCAGCTCCAAGAGTCATGAGCCACTTCCAGAGATGGATGTGTAACACTGTACAGATGTAGAAAACCGTATCCAGGTGCAAAAATAAAATGTGGTGTGTCAGTCAGAACAGATCATTCTCTGACCTGTTTCCTACCAGAGACTTTTCTTTATTTGTGGTAAAGTCCTAACTGTTATTAACTAGAATAGAAACAGCTCTGACATATTTGTTTAACTATTTGGTGTTTTTACTGCATCCCTCTGCATTCTGTGCTGTCTCTGTATACCACAGCTTTATTTATTTACCCACATGCAGCAGCAGCAGCAGATGGGCAGCAGGGGCCACTAGAGGGCCTACTTACACAAATATCTGCAAATACTGCAAATAAAAATGAATATTGTTCAATCATATTGGGGTTATTTCAAACAACAGCATAACCGACCTTTAAACCATAGGTCACAAAGATCATGCATGCCAAACACAGGGTGAAGCAACAAGAGAAAAAATCTTAATCTGCTTTAATCTCCTTTCAATCAAAATTTACAATTTCACAAAGTCATACTTTACCAATCTCCTCTTTCTGGACTCTGAGGCTTGACATGGTTTGGCCTAAATAATCAAAATTTTTACTTTTTTACAATTTTTAGTTTCTCTAAAAAAGAAAGTACTATTGAGCATCATTCTAAGATGAAGGAAAGAAATTTTATGCACCAACTTGTACCTTTTCTGCATCAATTTATTGCATAAATGTCTTTATTTGTGGAAGGAAAGACACACATTTTATGCACCAGTGTACATTTTAAAATATATAGGATTATAATGGTAGGAAGATACCAGATACCTTCAGTCCTCTTTTGAGTCTTCTGTCTTAGAAGCAACCTCTTTACGTGTGGTACCTTTTCATGTCAGCGATCAATTAATTAATTTGTATTATATCATAAAACTCTTTGACATTAATTGTGGGGATGTGTTTCAGCAAGATTTCTGCCCATGTTCAAAGTTTTTTCATATCCCCTGCATCCCTTCAATTATAAAACCTATAATGCACTTCCAGTCAGAGTTTTATTTGGTTTTGCTGCTTTGATGGATGTACAGTCGTCCTCAGATGTGTTCATATCCTTCCATTAAAGAAAAGGAAAAATTCACAACAGTCACTCAAATAACTAGAAACTGAAAAAAGTAATAATAAATGTTTAAAAAATTGCTAAATTATAATTTCGTGAAATAAGACATTGCTTTTGAATTGTGGTTGAAAAGAATAATAAAAAAAAAAAAACAAATCAGTCCTGGACAAATTAGAGCACTTTACTGATGAGCAGTGGGCCAAAATTTAAAATACCTGTCAACAGGTGAAGAAGTCTGATTGAGAGTTATAGAAAACACTTGATTGCAGTGATTGGCTCAAAGGGTTGTTCAACAAAATATTAGTTTACAGGCTCCATCATGCTTGTTTTTTTTGTTTTTTGTTTTCTGTTTTTTAATATTTCCATTGAACCACAATTCAAAAGCAATGTCATGATTTTCATTATTTTTTTTATTTATTATTACTTTTGTCAATTTCAACTTATTTCAGTGACAGCAGTTGTTTTCCTTCTTTAATGGGAGGGTATAAATACATTTGTGGACGACTGTATGTAGTCATCGTGTCACACACTCTTCTGAAAGACAAGCACACAGTAGAGCTGAAAATCCAAAACTGTCCCATTCACACACACGTTGCCTAAACTGATCCACATTTAAACAGATCAACTTTACAGTCACCAGCTCATGCTGCCCTCTAGCTTCACAGTAAAGCCTGAGCTTCCCATGCAGTGAACCTAACCACGTTTCCTTCTTCATAATCCTCATCTCCTGCATTATGTCACGGTACACTGAGCTCCACAGAGTAAACACACTTGGGAGTGTTGAGCCATTAAACCCTGTGAGTTGTTGATCCAGCGCTGACGGAGTGACATGTCAACACCAGAGAAAGTGTTGACATTCACACAGATCTGGTGTAAATTGCCGGCCAGCGTGTCTGCTCACTGTTCTTAACAACGCTGCAATCTGAATGGCCAAATTTCTTGGAACTGACAGCATCTGTCCAAG